TAAATGAGTTGTAGCTAATAAACCTTGCTGGATAATTTCTGTATGGTCTCCTGGATTTCCTTGGGCTAGGCCTGACAGCCTGCCTTCTGGAACACCACTCCCCCTGAGATTCATATGGCCATCACCCTAGCCCTATTTAAATGAGCCTTTAAAACCTGGTTCTTCCTCCAGACCTTGGGTTAGAGTACGTGGCAGACCCCTTGTATGGTGTTTTGGTGTATCAGATAGTTATTGATTTTTCAAACTTTTTCTTGTTTATGTACATATTTGTTTTTACTGTCTAAATTTGTACGCTGCCCAGAGTCATGACAGGTTGTAGAGGCACATACATACATACATACATATATTACTCAACTTTCTGTCGGCCCTTCAAGGTAGATCAGACTAGGAATCTAATGCCATGTAGGTTAGTACTACTTTTACTATAAAGCTATAGTAACAGAATCTTGCAAGTCTGAATGCACTTCTCCCCTCCATCCCTTTATTTTTGTGAGAACTAGAGAGGGTCTTATCTGAGACATTTACTCAAATTACATTCCTATCCCAGACTCAGTCCTCTTTTATCTGACCATTGTCTTGGTAGCACCTCTTCCTCCTATAGCTCAAGATCATTCCCTCTGCCTCTCCCAGTGCCTAAGTTTCCTGTAGAACTCAAACATTAGGTATAGAACAATACTTAATAAAACAATTTTCAGCACTTATAGGCAACCAGCCACACATGTTCCATGAGATAAAGATATTACATGAATACACTAAGTGTCAGTCAAACTGATTAGAGGCTGTTATATTTTGAGATGTCAGCACCTCCAGGCAATCATTTTGTTCAGTGACAATTTACAATCTGAATTGACCTTTTGCAGAAGGGGAGACATCCAGATGCTTGCTGGTTATTAGTCTCTTTTCTGCTTGCTTCAACATACCAAGTAATGTACTTTTCCTAAAATGCTTTCTATCAGAACAGGTTGAGGTGGCTAATTGTATTCACTTGATGTTGGTAACTCC